GGGTTAGAGCTTGAAAGGGAAGAGTCCTCTTTGCTCTCGTGGGGATAGTGATCTCATTAGGTGTTTTCTGCCTTTTCTATTTTGGTGGTACTGTATGTAAATATTCCATTTGTGTTTCAAAACAAAGCTATAGCTGTTGGACAACTTAACTTCTTATTTCTGCTGTGTGTTCGCCACCTTCTTGGCTTATGAGATGATCCATTCAACAAAATATGCCATTTTGAAGCAAATTAGAGGATAGGAAACAACCCAAACAGTTATATCTACTGTTCTATCTAATTAGGTTCTTAAGGTGATGATGCAGCCTCATCAAAGTCCTAGATTTAGCTAGAAGCCGCTGTTCTACAGCAGGCTGCTGCTGGCTCGATACCTGAGTAGTAACGCTTGGTTAAACTCTTCTCGGGCAATGTTTCCAGAGTAAGATTCAGGAATACAAGTAGAGGTGTTCCATGACTCGACTCCTAGTACCGCTTGCTAACATTAAATTCACGCTACAGTTTCCCCTTCGGTGTTTGTACACCAGTTCCGGAGTACACCGTATCTTTGTGCTGCCTTTGCTGAAGCATACCTATAGCAAGGAAGCTGTGTGTACAGTGGTGGTGAGCATGGCAGTGGGTTAAGAGAAGAAAACGTTGGGTATTGGGGATGATCTATATCAGGAATTACTTACGTGTGGATCGGTTGCTAAACTTGATGAGGTAAGTCACTAGACCCATATCGTTGAAGGAGAACAGTCTAAAGGCTGGGGAAGAGAAGTTCACTGTGACACAACCTCTTTGGGCTCGCACATGACACTTGACACTGCAAAATCCCGCTCCAGGGTGATCCCATCATGCAACTAATACAAATAACTACCTGACTTTTGGAAGGCTTTCAATCAAGCCCTTCAGAAACAAGAGAAAGTTTCAAAAAGCCTCAGTGTTTTGCTTGGGTCCCATTACACTGCTGCTTCCATGTATTGTGTTCCTGTTGCAGCTGGCAAAATATTTCTGTGTAAAAAGTGTTTCTCCTAGGCTCCCTCTTCCTCCTGAATGGCTTTGCAACCTAAAGCCTGGCATCATAGGTGTGTTCTCGGGGATAAGGGATAACCTCACTCACACAGAACTGAAGTATTGCTGCAAAAATCCGCCGGGAAGAGGCGGTGGGGAGAAGATTGTATGTTAAAACTGGGTGAAGTAATGCAGAAGGTTCAGGGCTGGTTTGGTAGAAGGCTTTGGTCTGGTTACAGTGCCAGTGTTTTGCCAAAGCATCTTCTCTCTGAAGGACAACCTCTTGTAGCAGGTGGGGCTAGTGGGGTTGTTTCCCAGGCTCTCTGGCTGTGAGCGGTGTGTCTCTGGCATCCCCCTGCCTCTCTAAGCCCTTGCCCTGCAGGTGTGTTAGAACATCGGATCTGTGTGTTACAGCATGTGGCTGCCCCTGGAATTCCTGTAGGCTGTGTGAAGTGGCTGGGATTGGCACGGTGAGGTGAAACAAAACAATACCTCTGATGGAAGCCAGGCTGTGTGAACAGAAGGCTGGGAATGACCTCCTAGGGCACTCGTGCTATTGCAGGAAACCCTGTCACGCAGGCCCTTTCATAAGCTCCTTGTGCTCACAGTTAGCTTTAGCTCCCTATTGTGCTGCTGCTGCAACTGTTAAAAGGCCCTTCCGGAAACTTACTTTTCTAATGGTTTAAATAGTTAATATTGACCACAAAATGTCAGCGTTTAGGCTATTGCTGTGGTCTCGCTGGTGTGTTTTCTCCAGGGTTTGCTTCCCCTTGACGTGCTTATAAATGTAGTCGTATCTCTGCGGTGCCCTCGTTTTACTAAACGAATGCTCCAAGCTGTTTTGGCCACCCCATCCGAGATAGGCAGGAGCTGTGGTGCGGATCCTGTTGTTCCAGCCAGAACACTGTCATGCCAGTAATCGCTACACTGGGAGCAGTGCTTTTGGGTGATAGAGGCTGTTCCTGCGCAGCTTCCTGCCGCTCCTTTGCCACAAGTGTTTTTCCAGTATAGATCTAGCCTCTAAATGTTGTAGCCTGGACATCCTATGGAAAAAGGGGCTGGTCACACTGACAGCTCGGTGGATTTTAACACCCTGTTCCGTGGTGGCCAGCTGAGCACTATATGCTGTGGTTTCACCTATTTTTACATTTAGAGGTACCTTTCAGTGTGACGCTATGTTTTACTGTGTAAATTACAAAGGTAGAATACAATACACTGCTGGTTGTTGGTTTGGGTTTTTTTTTAATATACAAAGTTTGGTTTATTATACACAGCCTTCATTCTTCTAGCTTTTGTCTTTGCTTCAGGGTGGAAGTTGAGGGGGGTGCTGCATGCTGTGACAGTCGGGCAGGAAAGACGTGGGATGGGTTTGGCACCCGCAGAGAACTGGGAGGCACTGTGGCACTTGCATATTTGCCAGAATTCTGGAAAACATTATCATTAGTTAAGCAATACTGATATTTGAGCATTCATCTGTGTTTCAGGGGCCTGCTGAATTGGGACAGTTTAAACAGGACTGCTGTTTCAAGCTGTCAGCTGCTGCAGGAAGCTAGGTCATAATTTTTAATGATTTTTCAGCCATCAGGGTTGCAAAGGCAAAAAGGTGATTTTCCAGGATACCATCAGGCACGCTCTGCAGAGAAGGGATGGGTTAGGGATGGGCAGTAACACGGGAGTCTTGATTTCAGCTTCCATAGGTTTTGTTTCTGTCTATAGCGACTGTATTTAAATTTGAGGAAGGCTGGTGGATAAGAACAAATTTCTGAGAGGATCTTGGAGCAAGTACTTATGATGCTGGAGATGCATCGTCACTGTTGTCGTCTTAACGCGGTGACACCGAGCTAAGCCAGGGTCCCGGACTATCGCGACACACGCATACGGTTCCCTTCCCAGAAGCAGCCAGGTCAGAAAGAGGATCTGTCATCGGAGGGAGAAGAGGCTTTACCGCAGCCCCTTCCTAACGCAGTGAAGCAGTCCCCGGCAGACCAAAGCATATGCTCTGTGTTAAGCCTGTGTGTGAGTGGTGTGTTGGATGCTGGCCAGAGTATTTCAGACATCATATATTAAGGGTTTTTCAGGCAGTTCGTTTGTTCCTTTATCCCTCACGTTTCAGACTGGCAGTGGTGCAGGTTGCGTTTGGGGTTTTTTGGGGATGAACACCTTGGAGAGGTGTGCTTGGCTCTGTCTTTTCTCAAGGAGACAAGCAAGAGATGGCAACAGTCTCTTCTTGCTTCTGACCTCCTTTTGGAACGGCTGTATTTTGAATGTGCCACCTCACGCATCCAGTCACTAATATACAAACTCTTCTTTCTTGGGGACAATTTCTTCTCTGCATGGCACTTCTATTTCTGAAACTTTTTGTTTCAGATCATGACACAAAAAGCCAGTATTTGTGTGTGATCTACTGAACTGAAATTGTACGACACACACACGGGGGTAAAATAGGTTGAGCGTTGTGGTGTCAATACGATAATATTGCAACAAGAAATCGGTGTGGAAATTAATTTCTAAGTGTGTTGGAACTCACTGAAAGGTTTTCCTTAAACTTTATGTTCATTTTCTTAACACACTGAGGTGAAATGGCATGTTCCTGCAAAGCACCTCATTCTGGACAAACTATTTCCTACCAGCAAACCCACCTCGTTTTTCATAACGAGCCCACTCGGGGCCAAGCGTGGCAGAACGAGGGAGAACCTCCTTAAGAGAGGAGCCCGGGGAGGAGAAGGCGTTGCTCTCTGGCTCTAGCAACCCCACCTCCCGGTTATTTCATCTTCCTTACAAGGCTAAAGCTAAAAGCTTTCCTCTGCCGCCTGGGTCCCTTAAAAGCAGCAGAGCAAGCCCCGGGGATCCCGGTGGGAGCGCAGGCGGGATGCGGGGCTGACAGATGGGGACGGAGCCTTGCGGAGAGCACGGCAGAGGCGGCTGCTGCTCTCCAGGGAAGTGTGACACTATCCTGGGAATCCTAAACCAGGTGTTCATTGGCGCAGATCTTCCAAAGAAACATGAAACCAAACCCAAAAAGAAATCACTGAGGGGGAAAAAGTGCAGCATGAGAGGTAAATATGTTTTTCATTGGGACAAACAAAAACAACCGGCTTTATTTTGTTTGAAAATCGTTATTGTAAGTAGTTGTCTAAAGCTGGGGACTGAAAAGTACGTTTGCTAACATCTGAATAAAGACTGGTCTGACTCTGACTTCAAAAGCAGCACTAGGTGAAAAAGTCAGACCGACAGATGAATTTTTGAATTTTCTCTTTAGGCATTCTCACCTAAAAACTTCGTAAAAAATCTGTTGTTCTGCTATTGCTGAAGGTTTTTGAGAAGTAGTATGCACATTGCTTTGGGGGAAAAAGAGTGGCAGAACCAAAAACTAAACTGACATTGTGGTAAACGGTCTGCGTCGAGACACTTTGTATGTTCCTATATCCCTGTTCTTGCAATAATGCTATTTCTTCAGAAGGATCCCTGACCTACTGAGCTGGAATGTCTGTTGACATCTGGTTGAGGTTACTGTAGCTCGTACTTGGGATTCAGGGGGTTTTTTTCCTAGTTTAATTGAAACAAGCTGATATAGTCTACACATTCTGTGAATTGTTTCCATGCTCTGGCCGTCGAGTCTCTCTGGAGGGTGATTCTAGGACTGCTGAATCTGCACTGGAAAAAGAGGAAACACCTTGATAGTTCAAAACTGCAGCCCTTCTGTGGGTTGTGCTGCCAGTGAAAATCAGAGTGGCTGAAAGACAGAAGTCTTTGCCCTGAGACAGATGTTTTGCAAGTATGGTACTACTGACTTTAGCCTAACTGTAAGGTATAATACTTGGGCTTCCGATTTACATCCTTGCAATGCTAGAGGACTTGCAAATGCTTTTATTCACCAGGTAAAATGAAAAACTGGCCTTTTGAGAATAGCTGCTGCGAGCTGTGACAAACCGAGGGACCAGAGGATCACCACACGGCTCCTGCAGATTCTCATCTCAGGCATCAGCTCAGCATCCCAGCAAGTCAGCCAAGGATGGAAGTGCTACGACGTTCCTCGGTCTTTGCTGCAGAGGTCATGGAGGTTTTTGACAGATCTCCCACTGACAAGGAGCTTGTCTCCCAAGCCAAGGCTCTCTGCAGAGACTATATAAATTCCAGGCTAATTCGAGCGGGTGTCAGCTGGAGCAAACCCGAGTACAACGTGCCAGTGCCTGGTGGCAAGCTGGCCGAGGTGTCCACCATACTGCTACGACTGGGTAAGTCCGCGCCCAAAGGGGTGGGAGCCAAAACTCTCTGGAACAATTCAGACCAGACTAAGGTTTCTGGAATTGATGAGCGCCAAGAGGCTTTTCATGTGATGATAAAGAGGTTTTTCTTCTCTGCATTGGGCATTTAGATTTGGTGATCTTGCCTAAACAACTCCTTTCCTCAGTCCCTTGGAGTGCTGTGTGTCTGCAGAACTGCTTTTTTCTGAGGACTTACAACTACTTCAAAGCACAATGCCATCCAAGAAGGCCCAACAGCAAAATTTTCCCTGCGTAAGACTCCAGCTGTGTAGCAGTTTTCACAGTAGTTTCAGAAGTCTTTCTCAGCTTGGCATTTTAACAGGTCTAGCAGTGTTTTCTCCAGACGCAGGTGACTTGGCTGCCGTGACGCAACCCAAGCTGGCATCTCGTAGAGTACTGCTGCCTCTAGACTTAGGCTTCATCAAGTGCTTGCCTAGCTGAAAGGATGTTTAATTTGGGGTTTAGGCCATGTGCATTGGAGACTTTATAAAAGCTGTTTTATAATGAGAGTGTGCTTAATTTTCCTTTACCTACCTTAATCATTCAGCAAGACGTGAGTTTGCTTTTTGTTGAAGCAAGGAGTTGCTGGCTGAGGTTGCCTGGCATACACTGCCATTCAGTGCCCAAACTAGCCAGCCCTCCATGGCCAGTGGCTGCCGGGGGCTGCAGGGAGAGCGATTTGAAGGTCTTGCCTGTATGCTGCTATATGAAGACATGTCCTGGAGTCGTGCTTGTACCAGAAATATCCTCTAAATGCTGCCAGTTACCTGTCCTTTTGCTTTAAGTTTTGGCCTCCTGCGTGCTCAAGTCAAGCCATCTGTCTTTTGGGATCCTGACACCCTCATTCTTGGAAGTTGCTTCCAACATCCCTCTTTGCCTGCAGGCTAATATATTAGTTCACAGCTGGCATGGAAACTACCACTAACATTTGCATCTAATTTAATTACACCCAAGTTCAAGTAAGTCTGGTGAAGTAACCATTATCTGGGCCTAACCGACTCAGCACCAGGCTGATTTCCCTGCTTTCTCCCCTTTCTTTCTCCTTCTGTTTGATATTATCCCCAATTTTTTTTTTAAGGCATAACTGTTTATCTTTTGACTGACTTGTTTTTTCATGCATTCTTTTTCACTTTTTCTTTCCTATGCTGACTTCACTTCTGGTTTTGTTTCCAGTGGTTGATTGGTCTTTGGGTTTGGGTTTTTGTTGTTGTTCTGTCAATCTCACTGCCTCTTGGTCCTCCGTTCTTCTGTGCCTGGGTTGGGGGTTGAGGTTTCTTTGCTTTCAAACAGATCTTCTGTGGGTGGCCAGGAGCATGTTAAAGGGCAAGCAGGTGGCAGACTGGATCTGAAGGCGTCTCCTGATGACTCTCCTGTTACTTATTCATGTCCAGATGGAAAAATTTGGCTGATAGTCCCAGGAACTTGGCACTTTCTCTGAGCAAATCTGTTTGGAGAGCACCACGCGGTACCCATGCAACAAGAAGGGTGAGCAGTCCTTCCTCAGAGAATGAAGAGTTTGTTCAGAAATGCCACCTGGCACATGGACTGTCCCTTTCTCTTCCCCTTCATGATTATAAACCAGTATAAGGCCGTGTGGTATCCAGCCACCTGCCAGCAACGGCAGTCCTTAGCTGCTTACTAAGCAGTGCAACAGGCCAGGCCAGTTTTTATTCCATTACAGTTCTGAGAAGCCTGTGGAGATGAGAAGTCAGTGTATTTCCTAGTCCTCCTGCGTGTGCCAAGACAGTGAAAAGTGATGAACTGGCTGGTGGGCTAGCAGAGGTGCTGGCCACAAGCGGTGCAGTCTTGGGGAGCAAGAATGTATGAGCTCAGTGTGCCTTAGCAACTAATCAGTGCAATTAATGAATTGGAGCTGGTAAAAACTAATTGTATGGCCAAATGAGACACCCCAGAGCCACCTGCCATGTGTGTCAGAGGTCTGGTGTATCTGAACTTCTCTGGTCGAGGGCCAGGCAAGGGCCTTTTCCTAGTGTGTGGGAACTGCTACTGCTGCTGGGCTTGTTCCTCTGTGATTACTGAGGGAAGGAGAAGCACAGAAATTGCTCTAAAAGTTGCAAGGTGCCCATGTGGGCATCTGAACAGAGACACGGGAGAGTGTCACCAGCGTAACATGCTGCTGGAGAGGGCAGAGAGTCTCCCTGAGCCTGGGACTGCTTTCCTGTGCTTGTCTTCCCCAACGCTCCTACTTGCCCTGTGCGTGGCTGCAGGGCAGGGCCTGCTGGAACAGCACGTGTGCCTCCAACCAAAACCGATCTCATCTGGGGCCTCCAGGCACTGCTTGTTAAGAGCTCTAACAATGGCAGGCTACCAAGTGCTGATCCCAGCCTCCCTTTCTGCTAACCACGGGCAGGGCTATCCCCATTTCCTTGCATTTAACAGGAAGCCTGCGTGCTCCTTGTGAGGAGAAAACAGCTGTTGAGTAGTGCAAGCAAGGTTTCCTCTTATCAGGGCTGACCATGTGTTGGCAGGATTTCCTCCTGCCATCAAAGTGTGTGGGAAAACCCGCACCAAAGGTCCCAGAGAGCTCGTCTGTAGAATTCTGTAGAGCTGGGCCTTGCCCGTGCTGTGCTGAGTGCCAGTGAAATGAAGGACCAGTAGCTAATGACTCAGTAACAAGCTCTGGATTGGGGTGGCATCCTCCCATGTTTTCAGGAGGATCAGTTGCCCTCTGACTGGGGCAAGTCATCTGGGTCTTGCAGTGTGACATAGAGCTGTTGTGACAGCTCTCTTCTTCCCCTGGTTGCTCCAGAGCACTCTTCTGCAGGATTGGGACACAGTGTCCTAAATGTAAACCAAATAGGACTCTCCATGTGCAAAGGGCCTTGATCCCATGCCATCTTTGCTTTGTATCATGCTCCTACAGCAGCTGTGCAACTCTCATGGAGTATCTATCAACCCCTATAGAGAGACAAATCCATTGGAAACTGAGCTTTATTAACTACTGGTTTGTTGTACTCAGAGGAAAAGCTTTACTGCTGTTGCCCAAGCTCCATAGCTCAAACGTGGGAGGAGGTTCTCTGCTTGTCCTTGGTATTTCTGTCTTGGTCTTCAAGCTAGCCTAACGCCTCCAACCATTTCCCAGCAGGGAAGAAAGCAATGTGGAGGTGAAAGCATGTGTTTGTGGGGAACCTTGTTGCTGAGGAGTCAGCCAGGCAAATGAACATATCTCTCACCATTTGGAGGAGAGAAAGAACTCCAGATCATCACTCCTGTGTGAGTGTAAAAAATAAAATAGCTGCTGATAGTCTGTTTGCTCAACTAATGAGCAGCTCTGGGTGGATCCTTGGCTTTCGTCAGCCTCCAGCATTCTTGAGTCGCTCTCATCCCAGGCTTTTTTGTACAAGTCTGATGTGGTGTCGAGAAAGGGCGTATCTCTCAAATCTTGTGTAGATGTACATGCCTCCTTTTCACTGCTGAAGAAAAATGAGATGGCTTTGCTTATCTGAGGCCTATCTCCCGTGTTGGAGGAAAGGCAGGCAGGCAGCCTGGAAACATCATTTATATTGGGATTACTGCAGCTACAGCACTGGTACGAGGCCACTGCCTGTCCCCACTCCCCTTAGAAGCCTCAGCTGTAATTCTTACATGGTGAGAGCAGGACTTGGTGTTCCGGGTGCTGACTTCTGTTTGTTTCTAGGGGATGAGCTGGAATACATTCGCCCCAACGTCTACCGGAATATCGCCCGCCAACTGAACATCTCGCTGCACTCGGAGACGGTGGTGACGGACGCCTTCCTGGCAGTAGCTGCGCAGATTTTCACTGCAGGTACTGTGCCCTGACAGATACACAGACAGGGCTGGGCGGAAAGGAACAGGATGGAGCCACCTCTCTTACAGAAGGCGTGTTTCTGGGATAGCCTGCAAGGTGGGGCCTGGTTTCTGAAAGGGCCGTGGGCAGTTTGGCAGCGTGCCCTGCTTTAATGGTTTAATGAGAGCTCCTCTATGCTCTGTTGTTCTGGCAGGGAAATGCCCTGTTTTATTATATCCTCCTGGCAGGTTCTCACTCATTCTAGAAGGCATCTCCTGCCTTTCCTCATTAGTAGGTAGTGTTACCTCATTGCACAGGGAGGTCACTCATTCCAAGCTCCTTTGCTCACCATTGGCAACTGGAGAAGATTCATTACATGGGAGTCTCCCTTGTTCCAGCCCTGCTGGTGCTAGGAACCAGAACCAACTCATCACAAGGGAGTTCCTCTCTTCTGGCTTCCTTTTCCCCAGCAACAGCCAGAACTGCAGTGGATGGAGCCTGCTGCTTCTCTTTTCCTGTAGCTAGAGAGACGGGAGCCCCAGCACCGACGAGCAGATGCTTTGAGCTTTCCCACTGCTTAGATGTGAATGTTCTTCTGCTTCTGTTTGACCTGTCTCAGAGGTGACTCTCATAAGCAAAGGTACGCTTTGTGCTGTGATCCTGTGAGGGAGCTTCAGCCTCCCTGAAAGCAGTCTCTGCCTGTGATTGGGAATGCAGGCTGGGGAAATCAAGGGAAGAGAAGCATTTTATACAGAGATTTGTGTAAGGCAAGTCCTAAGGTGGTTGTAGGTTTTCTGCAGAGTCTCGTGTTGCCCATGGAAGGGACAGTAGATGTCAGACTAGAAACAAACTGAAAAATTAAGAAGCGGGAAAACCCCAGCGAGCTACTTGCTAAGGGCATAGTAGCGTGAAAACATTGGATGCATTGACATGGGAAGTGTTGCAGGAGGCAGTGATTCTTGTTACTGTGGGAGTTGTTGGTACAGGACAGAAGTCCAGGTTTCTGTTGTACTTTCAGACAGGCTTCCTTCTTTTCATCTTCACCATCAGCTATGCGTCTTTATGCGTATGAACTACACGGGAAACATTGACGCCATATAGAAGCACATCCTGGACTTCAGGTCTGAAGTGTGTTGTGGTGGAGAGCACAGAGCCTCTCCAGCATCCCAACAGACGTCAAAATAGATCCCTCTGAGGGACTGGAAAAGCGTGGCTCCCAGCAGGTCTAGTAGGGCAGATTTACTTCCCAGATCAGGGAAGCTGAAGCTGTGCCATAAGAAACGGATGGAATTGGATTCTGTAGCCCTCGGCATCCTTTCAGAGCATGCCTGGAATGCAGTCTGCCTTTGCACTGGGCTGGCATGGGCGGCTGTATGGGCTCAGAAAGCAAGAGCTGGGCATGTATGGCAGGAATGTCTGAGTGTGGCTGTGTTCAGAGTGCAGCTGCCCTGTCTTGTCACTCAGTGCTGAGCTTTACTTGCATCAAGGCTTACAAAAAATGAAGGTCAGTTTTGCAAGCTCGGGTATTTGTGTTGCAGGTAAGTAGGTTATCATCTTAGATGACTATAGCTGACTACAGCATTGGAACTGGCCCACCTCCAAAGCTGAAGTGACACGAGGAATTAAGCCAGAAATCTGGATGGCTGCAGGTGGAGCAGACTCTGTGTGCTGCTGTGCTGCAGGGAGAAAGACCTGCCAGCTTCTGGGCATCTTGCTCGCATTGATGTATTTTGACAGATGCACCGAGAGCTGCGTATTTTGGTGGTCTTCAACTTCTCAGCTCAGGAGTGAATTGAAAAGTGTGGATGGTTTAAAATGTGTTTGTTGTTCTAAATGTGGGGTTTTCAGGATAGTAAGAATGGGATCTGGACTCAGTCCTTTGAGGCTGGCAATGCTAGACACTTCAGTAACACAGCAGAAGCCCAGGCTCAAGCCCTGTTGCTAGTTCAGCCCTTCAGCTGGGGACACCGTGCTGCATAAACGGCTGGCAGTTGCACAGGGCGTGGATTCAAACCTTCCCACTGCTCTGTATGCTGTTTTTTTTTTTTTTTTCCTTCTTATTCATCTCTGTGTCAGAGCAACTAACAGGATAACATGGGAGTGTGAAGTTGGGGTTGTGTATTCAGTTGCTTTTATGAATTCGTTGTTGTAATTTCTCTTGCTAGAAGGCTGCTGATTGGCAGAAGGGGAGGGGTTTGCTGATTTTTAACATTCATGGATCCAAACTGCAGTCTCAAGACTCAGCATTTAATGATAAATCCAGCAAATCAGAGTTGGCTGTGGCAGCCAGACACTCATTCCTAATTTTTTTCATAGTTCAGAGGAAAGAGGCTCTTACTGAGCAAAGGAAACTGGAGACTTAAGTGCAGTCTGAGGCTTTTGTGCCAATTGCAGCTAAAGCATCTCAGCCTGTTTTTCACTGTCCAGTTTACAAAGAAAACAGCTACAGCCTGACATTGCAGTGCCTAGACAGTCTGAGAAGCCCCATCAGTCACTGGCAATGCCTTGCCGGTAAGGGAGTGGGGGACTTTGACCCTGCCTTGCTGGAGAGGTTTTCTCCTTAATTTTTTACATGGCCTTCCACACTCTGGTCTGGTTTTGAGCCTTCACACTGTAGCTCTGGCTGTTCTCACTTCCTGTCCACACTGTCCACACGTCTTGACTAAGCGCAAGCCCTGGATGCACTTCTCAAGAAGTCAAGACTGAGGACATCAAGCATCCGTGTTGGTCCCACTGCATGGGTACATTATGCCATATTCAACTTCAGAGCATTGTCTATTCCAGCTCTCTCAGGTTTGGCTTTTCTCTGGTGTAGCAAGGGCAGCGTGAATCTCGATTACAGCAGGTTAGCAGCTGAGAATACAGGCAGAAGGTGAGCAGGTCACACAGCATGGTAAGGCTCAAGCTGTATTTTGCTTCCCTGTTTCCATACAGCCTGTTATTCGGGGCAAGGAGAGCCCACCTGTGTGGGGGCTGGCACTGCAGGGCTCTGACCTGCTTTGGAGGTTGAAGGATCCGCAGCAGCATCACCTCTGTGAGCACAGCACTGGTTTTGGTGTGTGGTCCAAAGCTGCTCTGCAGCTAGCAGACTTTCCACTGACTTTAACAGGCTTTGGATTGAGGCCTGGCTGAGCTGGCATTTACATTAGCTGTTTAAATAAATCCCAGAAGGAAGGGGTCACTTGGTGGAAAAAACAGAAGAAGGAAAGGGAGCAGCACTTTCATTTCCTAGAGGAAAGAGTTTCCTCCAGTCCTAGCAGGTAAGACCTGCTAGGCACCAGGGTGCTCTCACACATTTCATCTGGTTTTGTGTTGGTTTAGGTACTCATTTTTCAATGGCAAGTGCTTGGGCTGAAGTGAACCTAGGACAACAGGGATGCACGGCTGACGGATTCTCAGAAGAAAATGCTTTCCCCTGCAGGAGCAGTCTGCATCCCGTGGGTTCCTTGTCACTTAGGTCTTGCGAGTTGAGCTCCCTGCCTTGTGCACATCCTTCTTGGCTTCTTTCTCCTCATTAGAGGAAAGTGTATTGTGTCTGGCTGTATTCTCCCAGACATGAAATGTAGCACTTGATCATGTTTCTCTGAGGTCTGATTTACGAGTTAGGCTTTGGCGCTGAGTGGAGCCAAGGGAAGTTTATTTGGGTAACGCTGCATAGCGTGGTGCTCTGAGACTCAGCACAGTCGTGTCTCATGGCTTCTTGAGCTCTCTCCTGGGGCAGGCAAGCTGATATGCAGCGGGAACACTTTCAGGAGCGCTCCTCTCCTGCTAATTCATTTTCCCCTGGGTTTGCCAGTGTTTACATACCTTCAGCTCTGTGACTGGCCTTGAGTCTGCAACTTGTATTTCTTATTTTTTAAAATGCCTTCTCAGCAGCTTTTCACATTTTCATGTCCTTTTGTTCCATCTCTGTGAGCAGAAGTTTCAGAGCTCTCTCTGTTTTGATCACTCCTTTCTAGACTGGTTTTCCATTCCCTCTTGTCATTAGCTCCTCTGCATGCTAGTCTGCGCAGTGGGAAGCTGCGAGTAGATTGTGTCTTTTGCTGATGAGTGCCTGTCTCACCCAATGTGGATGCCAGCCAGACTTTTTGAGGAATTTGGAGCGTGACAATGGGTCTTCTCTGCTCGTGTGCACTGGCTGGCTGCAATTCCAGCTTATGCAGAGGGATGCATCAAGCTACTGTCACCCTGACCTTGGCCTGGCCATCACAGGGGACAGGGGCACTGCCCTTGCAGTAGACTGTGCTGCTCTACCCCATCTGAGAGAATCCTTGAGAGGGAAAAGCTAATGGAGCTGGTGTCCTGGAGAAGTGCAGATGGGGGCTGCTGTAGCCTGTTCCTCTGTCCTGCCCTGCCTGGGGTTGGAGCCCTCCCAGGGCAGGGGGACTGGCCACAGGCACACCCAGAGCAGCTCTCGGAGGTGTCTGCTCTTCGCTTGCTTCAGGGCTGCCCTCCTGTGCCAACAAGAGCAGAAGCTGTTCCCTGCTGACTGGGGTGAGAAGCCCAGCTGCCTGTCTCCATCTTCTGCCTCCAGCAGTGTCAATAGGAGTTTCCATGCAGAGAAGTCGAGAGGGGATTTCCTCCTGTCTCATCCCCATGGCCCAGCTCTGCCAGGAACAGGAAAAGCAGACTGAAAGATTGGTTTGACCCTTACACTCATGCTCTATAAAGAGGAGGACAATGAGAAGTGACCGCTGAGCCCTTTGCATCCAGTGGCAGGATAAGCAAGCACAATTTGCCCTCTCTCTGCTGCCCTTGTGAAAGGGAGAGGGACTCTATCTGCATGCTGGGGAAGCGTTCACCTCCTGCAGGTCCTGCAGCAAGCACCACCGTAACAACCTGGCAACGAAGCCAGAGCTGAAGAGCTTTCTCCTTATCCTCCCTGGGAGGAGACATCTGGACTGAAATGTCTGTAGATCAAACTGCATTCCTGTGTGTTGGGAAAAACATGGGTCTACTGAGCCTTTGTCTTTCATAGGTTGTGAATACATTTTTCTGTTGGAAAGAGAAACTTGGGTTTAAAGTGAAGTTTAGCAAGGCTGGAGCGGTCTTTCTGCACCAGGGTGGCCTCACAGTCCCCTGTCACTCTTAGTTACTGCCATGTAAATGTCTCAAAGCTAATGGACTTGATTCAGATATTTAAAGCGTGCTGTCAGTAAAAGCTTGGGAATAAGCCAGTGAACTCTTCCCTGGAATTTTGGGTAACTTTGGTTCATGTAACTCAAGATGCAAGGAGCCACATTTCTGCAGGGGTGGAGAACAGCAAAAACTGACATGCTGAAGCTGAGTCTAAGCCAGCTGAGGTCCAGGAGACTCTGGTCAGCAGGAGGTGAAGCCTCTTTCAGTGGGTGGAGAGGTGTTGACCTGCAGCAGGACAGCCTCTTTCTTGCCAGGAGCAGCTCTCCTAGTATTTTCTCATGTGGTTTCATAGCCTCTTCCTGGCTCGTTCTGCTTACTGTCATGGTGACACGCAATGTGAGAACCACAGATAAATAGTGTGAATACCACACAGGCAGTGAACTTCCTGAGTGACAGCTCTGAGGAAGGGACATGGCAGGGCCTACTCAGAAAATAAAATCACAATGACAGCCAATTTAGCCATGTTAATAACTTCCTCTGATCTTGGAGATAGTGCTGGTGAAGGACAGTATCACAGGAGACTATGAGCTGTTGCTACAGAGCCTCACAAAAGGATCATCTGTAGATTTTGGTCTTACCTCAGTGATGAGTGAAAAAATGGCTTTTTTTGGAACACTAAATGTATTTTCTTCAGTCTATCAAGCCATTCCTATGTCTGCCATTTAAAGAGTTTCTTTAGTGTTTAGTATGTTTTTATTTAAAAAAAGAAATGGCTCTAAGTGTTAGTGTGAGTGTCCCTTTTGAGGCACTCAGTGGAAGGATTGTGGAAATGCTCTGAAACCTGCATGTGTTGTAAAGGAATGTGGGGAGCTTTGCTGCAGTGTGAGAAGGTCTGAGGAGTCAGGAGCTCCATCCCAAAGAGGTGGATTGGGGTGCCTGGGAATCCAGAAGTGCGATGAAGGGGAGAGGGAGCCTTTTAATTTCAGTTGTATCTAAGGGTTTGCTTTCTTAGCTGATAGATTGCTGAGCACATCCAGTTTCTTGATTGTGTGTTTAACCCCTTCTGGTCCTTAGATATAGTGACTGACCTAATCTTCCGTTCTCTTACCTATTTTCTTTCTTGTTGCAACCCAGCAAGAACAATTTTGTGTGTTTTTAAACACTGAGACTTCATTTGGCTTCTGGCTACGTTTGGGAGAGACCTTGGACAGACTTCCTAGAGACCTGACACTGTAAAATCTTTGCAGTATGCTTGTCGAAGACCGCTGTCCCAGATAATAAAGTAAGGGGTAAACTTTCAGCAGATCCAGAGGAAATCCACGTGCTGTTGTGCTGTGGTAGTTCTACATAGGCACAGAAGGAGTGCGTTTCCAGGTCACTAGTCCTGATAAAAGCCTGATGAGGGAGTGCTAGCTGCAATGCTTAAGCATGGAGGATTTATGCCTAGTGGTGTTGGCAGAGTGTGAGGGAGACCCAGGGAGGTTGGCTGGTTCTCGAGTGCTTATCACTAGCACGAACAGGAAGATGACTGATGCTGGGACAACTTCCATGGAGTGTTCATTGCCTGCAGGTCAGCCTAGCAGGAAGGCTGTTTTCTGGGAGATTAGATAGCTGACTGACACTCTGTCCCTGCCCTGCCTTCAGTGGGTTAGGATATGCAGTGTTAAGTATTGTATTTGTGTCCAAATTCTTGAAGCTACCTCCTTACATCGGGGAGGACGCCAACCCGCTTGGCCCTGTAGCTTTGCCTCCCTTCTTTGCTCGTGTCATGGTAGAACGGATGGAAGATGCTTATCTCGTGTGTGCTTTGTGTGCCACGCTGGATCTGTCTCCTCTGATCTAGAAAAAAACCCAGGAACAGTTGGTCTAAAGGGTGTGTGAGTTGTGCTGGTGACAAAAAACCCAGGTTGTTCAAACTCTTGGAATTCAATCACCTCCTGTGCAGCGTATAGGTGGTGAGGCACTGGAACAGGTTGCCCAGAGAAGGTGTGGATGCCCCATCCCTGGAAGTGTTCAAGGCCAGGCTGGATGAGGCTTTGAGCAACCTGGTCTAGTGGAAGGTGTCCCTGCCCATGGCAGGGGGCTTGGAACTGGATAGTCTGTAAGGTCCTTTCCAACCCAAACCATTCTCTATGTGCATGGCTGGGAGTTAATGGCAATATAAATCATGGTGATGCACATCTTCCCTGCTCTGATGATGCCTTTGGGCTGCTTTCTCCAAAGCTGTGCACCCATTGCTGAGAGGGGGGTCAAACCAAATTCTGCTTTCTCCAGGAGGAGGGTTTTCCCCGTCCTGGTCCCCTGGTATTTCCTTTCCCCCATGGTGGAGAGCATACAGAATTGTGGCTGCCCCTGAACCCAGAGCTGCACGCATGCCACGTGGGCACGTGTAACGAAGCAAAGCTGTTTCCTTCGCTTATTCAAGCATGAGCTATGTGTGCCTGTGTAAATCTGAATGGCCTTTCTTCTTTTCGTAGGCATAACGTGGGGCAAGGTGGTGTCTCTCTATGCTGTGGCAGCCGGGCTGGCAGTGGACTGTGTGCGGCATGCGCAGCCAGCCATGGTTCACACCATCGTAGACTGCCTGGGAGAATTTGTCCGCAAGACCTTGGTGACGTGGCTGAAAAGAAGAGGAGGCTGGGTAAGAGATGCTATCTAATCAAGCCAGCTTCCACACATGCAGACCAGATCCCAGTTAATGAAAGTGAGAGTGTCCCAACCACAGCTTTATGCAGAAAAACACTGAATGAGATTCTCTTCCACAGCCCTGTGGCCATCACTGTCCTACTTGCACCTGTGCTAGACTCCGTATAGCTCTGACTGCCGCGTGCTCCTGTCCTCCACTGCATCAGCTATTCTGGTCCTCAGCTTCTTGTGTAGCTGTGCCAGACTAATTCAGTCCTGACCCACCAGTGCCTCGCCTGACCTGAACATCACTGGTGCTGCCAGCCAGTCATAGTGGGAGACACTAAAATAGGGGTCATTCTCTTGGGTAGCTGCTTTCTAGAAACTGAATAAATGAGGCCTGACGACTTATTTCCTCTTTCATCTGCTTCATGGTTCCCCAAGTCAAAGCTTAGTATAGTAACGTGACTTCCCTCCATAAGGAATTTCAGAGGTTTATTACAACCTTGTGGTTTGTGCCGTTCTCTGGCCTAACCCTGACGGTGCTCCATGAATAACTTCTGATGTAGCTAAAACTGTAGCACGCTTATGCTTTGAAGGGCACCCATAACACCTATCGACAGTGGGAGGGCTCGTGGCTCTGTCACTGGCCAGCTCTGAGCCCACGGGTGAGGCATGGTGCTGCTCTGCGTTGGAGTGTGGCTCCATCTCGTATGGCATTAAGCATCTGATTTCTTTGGTTCCCTCTGTACCCAATGGGCAATACAGTGCTCCTCTGGAGGATGGCTCTGAGGAAGAGCTTTGGTGCTGTGGAATAGCCAGACACCTTTCTAGTGACCTCTCCCGGGAGTCAGAGATGGCAGCTGGGTGGTGTACGTATGTACCAGGGTCTCTGTGCCTATCTGGCAGGGATACAGACACTCCTTGGAGTGATAGAGCCAAAGGCACCTGGCAGATGCTGCCTGGAGCTAAACATTGCCGTATGGCATCTTGTTACCAAGGCACGTGCTCCTTCCAGACTCAGACATGGTGTCAAAGTCCCTCCTTTCCAAGAGGTGATCTCTATTCCTGAGCTGTCGGGAAACAGTCAGGCTTCCCACGCTGCCAGACCTGGAGAGAGGGGGATGTCTCCTTCCAAAATGAGCATTGCTCCTCTGTGCTGAGGCTTCCCAAGTGTGCCTGTAGCTGGTTTGGTCACCTGGCTTCTCTGCAAGGGGAGGTGCTTTTTTGATGAAAGGAAACTGGCAAGGCAGCACTGTTACAATTTTGGATCCCTTGCATTTACTAAGTCTCCCTGCGGCCTTAAATCATCCCTGCCCTCTCTAAAACTGACCTTGCGGTCAGCTGGGTTGGGGAACTGGTTGGTTAGGCTGAAAAGTAACCTTTGATTTCAGTGCTCTGATCTGTTTCATTTTGCGTCCACGCAAATAACTGCCAAGGTAGATGAAGAGGATATCCTGGGAAAGAGACTGATTAAGTAGCACGGTTCCTGCCTGTGAAATCCATGCCTCAATATCATTTGAGGCTTACTTTAACTGCATACCTGTAGAGCTGGTTGAATTGTATTCTCTGAAACAATTTTTCCTTTGGGAAAAAATCCGGTTTCATTACATTTGAAATGTTGCATAGGAATGTGTCTCCTCCTAGTCTCCCAACTATTTTTTCTTTGTTTTGGTAAAACATGCATGTTCTGATTAAGTTAATATTGTGAATAAAATTAAAACAAGATGCTAGGGTTCAAAACAGGGTCTTGATAGTTCCAAATGGATATTTTTGGCAAGTTTGTTGCACAGCAAACAAGCTGCAAAATCCATCCCCTGACTAGAAGTGGTTCTTTGCAGCTGAGGAAATAAGCCCTGTCCACTGCTCACTCCTTTTGCCACTCATCCCTCTTTGGATGGCCAGCACGCTTCTGTTGAGTTGCTGAACCTATGCTGCTTGCTCTTGGGATCTGGCCCTAGGAGAGGGAAGCCAATCTCCCTGCCCGTGATCAAATAAAACCACTGTAAAAGCTGCCGGGTTGTGCTGATTACAGTCTGTCTCCACTACCCTTATCAGCAATTTTGGGCTGCAGCAAGGAGATATTTTCCCTCTAGCAATGAGTGGTTCCTTCAGGCTGGGAAAAGGCTGCTAATCCCCTTGCCATCTTGTGCTGTGCTTCCCTGAATGTTCTTCCCCTTGATCTAGGCACTGCAGCGTGAAATTTCCCAGCCTTGTTCAGAAATGGGCCAGACAAAACAGCTCTGTAGTGGGGACCCTTTCGTCTGCTGCCTGACCTAGCTGGTTGTTAGTTTGTCTTGGCATGGAGTCCTTGTTTTCCCTGTGCACATGGCTCCTGTCTCTTACACATCAGCTCAGGTTGAGGCTGCCAAGAGGAACCACTGTGCTCTGAGCTGTTTCGGAAAGCCACCGTGGAGACCTTGGAAAGGCATTTGGAAGTCTCCACTCAGCCATAGGTTCCCATACTGCTGCCATAGGGTGGAGATGACCCTACCCCCCAAAGCCCAACCCAAGCCTCTTGCATTAAACACTTCTTGTTTCCCTGTCTGAGACAGCATCGTGCCCTGGGGAGAGTTTGCAGCCTCAACAGTGGCTTTTCAGTAGAGTAGGAAGGGGTTTTAGGGCTTTTCTTTTTTTTTTTTAGCAGCTATTACATATATTTGGGACAAAGAAGAGCAGGAGACTTGAGCTTGTTTGAATAATTAACAGACAGAGATCAAACTGCGATTGCAACAGTTTTTCAGTGTCTCACAAGACTCAAATACCTGTTTTATTAAGTAGCTTTGAATATTTTAATTCCAGTGCCTTATCAGTATGCTTTATTTGGATAACAATAGCTAAGGTGATTGCTGAACAGCTGAGCAATTCTGTTTATCTAAGCAAGCCCCATACAAAGTTGTAAGCGCTTCTGACTGCAGCTCCTCTTGATTAGCTGCAGTGAGGTCATTGCCTTTGGTAGGGCATAGCACAGCTTTAAGGGGTTCACACTTTCTCATCTGGAGGTTAACCCTCTGTAGCTATGACCAACCTGGAGTGCATATTTGGGCCTTGTACTGGTTCACATGAGGCACTAAAGCCCTGCAGAGGTTTGGTTTCTTATTGATCAACTACCCTGACATCTGAATACGTCTTAAGTAAGACAGGTACTTGCATGTCGTGACTTCTCCTGACTAAACAAACAGTTTGACACAACTGTGTTTCAGGGATGTGCTGGTCCCTAAAATTGGGCAGGCTGAATCAATTCAGACTTTTTTACAATGCAAAAATGTGAGTTTGCTAAGGCATCACTGAAAACATTTAGGCAGACTCATTTTGCTTTCCATAATACAGATAAAGTACCTATAACCACGGATACTACAGTGCAGCATCTTCTGTTAGGTGCTAGCCTTGCTATGGTTGCTTGTGCTTTTGTAGCCACAGGCAGTGCGTTTCCACACCTTGGTGTTCAGCCTCAGGAGCACCCCACATGCTGATTCAGCTTCCTCCTGCTATCCTGGTTCTTCCCATCCTTGAGTGCCTGTATTCATTCCTCCTGCAATCTCTACTTGTCAGTTATTCGTGGGCTCAGTGTCTCCCAGTGCTCCCCAGAGAACACTGGTGCAGGGTGATTCAGCGTGCCAGCCTTTCAGACTTCCTTGTGAGGGAGGAACTGCTGGAACCGCGTGGGAGGCTGTTGAGGCTGCTGTCGGCAGACCTTTGGTCTGTAGATGACAGCGGAGTCGGTTAGCGTGGCTGTACTCACCAGATTTGTCCCTTTGGTCCCCTTTTTGTTGTCTTTTAATTATTACCAAGGTCAGTCAGGCAGGGCTCGCCCATGTCTCGAACGCAGGCGGAAATGCTGGAAAAGGTTGCCGGAGTATTCAGCAGCTGTTGTGTCCCATCCTACAAGAGGAACATCTCAGGGTTGAGAGTCTGACTTCCCTTTGCATGGTCAATGAGAGACTTGTGTCAGAGGACAGGGTTGGAAGACTGCTGAGCTAAGCTTGTAAGGAAAAAGCCTTGGGGCTGACAAATATTTGCCCTCCTTGTGACCTGAGTCTGGTTCATATTTGCCATTTCCGAAAACCATGTCAAGGGGATGTGCCAGTGGTGCACCCTCTGTTACAGAACAACAGGCCGTGTCTCCTTGTGCTAGGCTGCAGTTTAACCACAAACCCCGTGACATGGCTGGCAGAAATTGGATTTGTTTCCCCCACCTGAAGATGCAATTTTCTGTCTGCCTCAGTCCTGTTTGCTTTACCCTCCAGATATTTTCCACCTTCTCCTCCCAATGCCAGCTGACATCCTGTCTTCATGAATTTGCTGGATTGTTGTTCTTTTTTATTCATTGCAGGCCAGCTTCTATTCTTGTTAATACTTGAAACCAGCTGCCCAAGCGATCTATAAATCTGGCCCACGCGTCGGGGAGGCATCTCTGCCAGCATACATATTTCCACAAACAAAGCTTGCATTGCTTTAGATTTAAATTGGGGATTGGCTTGCTTGAATGACTTCCAGATAAAACATTAAAGCAAGAGAAAAAGTGCAAGCAACTCAAGCTGATATTAAACAGGACAACCTCTGGGAAGCATCCTGCTTTACAGAAAAGGATGAGAATGCTGATATTACCAAGCTTCCTAGCCCTTTTGAAAAGGGGAAGAAAGTTGGGTTTTTTTATGTAGCTATTCAAAATGGGAAATGCTTGACAATCTTTCCTCAGGGGTGGCTGAAAAGGGGGAAAACTTCACCTTGTTGCAGTATGAAGAAAGCGTGTTTCGCAGAGCTCTTGAGCCTGATTTAATAACTGGCAGCGTGTGGGAGTGTCAGAGCAAGCCTTTGTGGCAGCTGATGGTGTGGCAAAGCGGTGCTGCTGCAGTGGTGGGGGCTGGGAGCGTCGGCAGCGGTGGCTGATGTGGTTCTGGGCATCTCTCTGATGATCTCTGTTCCGTCCTCATTAGGCAGACATCACGAAATGCGTGGTGAATACTGACCCCAGCCTTCGCTCCCACTGGCTCGTGGCCGCCGTTTGCAGCTTTGGTCACTTCCTCAAGGCTATCTTCTTCGTCTTGCTGCCCGAGAGATGAATCCCAATCACCGAGTGCAGCCCCCCTACCCCATCTCCTCCCGGGCTCCGGAAGCGGTGGCAGTAGCAATCTCTGAAGAGGAGGAAGAGAAGAACTGGGACAAACAAAAGGCTTGTTCTCCTCTCCCTTTGGCTGGGAGCACATGAGCAACCACAGTCTCCTCTTTGCAGCCGCAGGAGCCTCTCTCACCACTAATTCTTTCAAGACTCTTGTTTCTCTGGGCGACACATGTGTGGCCTGGACGTGTCCAGTCCCTGGGCACGCTGATTGCAGCGCACGCCGTCGGGCATCTGTTCCTTACGGTTGTGTTGCATGCTCATGGTAGTGCCAGGCAGAGGGGAGCAGGAAGGGCATATGATTTGACATGGGAGAGAAAACAGGAGAGGGGTAGAGTCTCTCCTTCACTCCGTGTTATTCCCCCTTTGGTCCTCACACTCGCCTTGCGTTGATTCTTGTCGTTGTTGTGCTTAAACTCCATCTCCTCCTTTATACCTAACTCTGACTTGCTGGGCTCTGCCCTCAGCAGGGTGCGGTGGAGGGGGTGATGCAGCCGTGGGGTTTTAACGTGATAAAGCGTACTGCCATCGGATGCTTCTCCCCAGAGCGTATCTTGGAAACCGGACGGAGCGGCTGTGTGAGGGGCAGGACCCGAGGGCAGCCGCATGTGAGGCGGTTGGCGACTGTCTTTTGTCAACCCCTCTTACTGAGCTTGCACGTGGTTTCAGACAGGAGAGCGAGGGGCAATGCCTTCAAGCAACAACTCGGGAGTGAATTTCATCAGGAAGAAAAATGCTTTTTCACTGGGGTTTCGTCAGAGCTAAGCATGTAAGTAGGAACAGCTGGGGGGCATGGGCAGGAATTAGAGAAACAGTATGTGAACTGTCTGATGTTGTGAAGGGGGAAAGCTGTGTCAAAAGTAGCTGACATGTTTGTCCTTTAATGTCTTTGGAAGTACCAGTTGCAGTCTTCTTTGTGGCAAACAATAAAAGAAAATAGGTGGTGTTTCACTCTTGCAAGGGTATTGTATTTGTTTCCAGAGTTAAAAATTCCAAAAAAGGCCAGAACAGTGCAGAGACAAACAGTCAGGCCATGCTAAAAATACTTCAGCTTTTCCCCTGGTAGAACATGTTAACGTGTTAAAACTACAGCTCTCCCGGTTCATGCTAGGAATTTAACCCGCGTTGTTGCCCTGTCGGAAACGTGCGGTTTGCACCCACAGAAGCGGGGCCTCGCTCCACTTCTCTGCCAGAGCCTCGCAGGAGACACCCTGCTCCGTGCCTTGCTCCCAAGAACTTAGCGTCGCAGCAAAACGCTGTTCTGGATTAAGAGCTTGTGGCGTTGCAGGAGTGTTTGCTGTGTGGTTTTTTTTCCTGATTTCCTTCCCACACCCTGTGTTCAGAAGGGCTTTACCGTTTCCTTCCAGAAGTTACAAATGGGTTTGAGAATAAAGCAAAGCCTTTACCTTTTGGTTCTGTCTGTGTGACAGGTTTCTGCTAGCAGTCAGTCGTGCTGTGCTCTGACCAACAGAACCACCGCAGAGGATAGGTACGTGGTTATACCCCTGCAGGGTCCTGCTTTTGGGTGATCTAGCCTTTTGCACTTCTGCTGATGCCTTGACGTATGGGTGCTGGGCTCAGCTTCGCCCGTAGGACTACGCCCGCAGCGAAGGGTGCTTTGCCAGCTCAGCCTACTCGTATTTTTGCAGTAGTAAAGTAATTCTCGTGGAGCAAAACCCTCTAACAAGAAAACCTCCCGTTCTGTATCGAAGCTGCGTGCTGCTTTTGAGGATATCTAGGCAGACTGGCTACACCATTAAAAGTGGGTGGGGTTGCGAGGGGTAAAGCTGGCAACAGTTCCCCAGATAAAACCAAATCACCAAAGGATTTTTTTGAATTTTTCTCTTCCTCACGTAGTTATGTCAGCATTAGTAGTTTTGCTGACGCCTCTCCCACTTGGGATTTTGTTTTTCCTTAAATCCCTGATAGATCTGGCTGTGGAAGCTCAGACCAGGCGTAGTGCATGTGATGACCTGAACTCATCACACTTTGAGCAGCACAGCGAGGATCCCTGCGGATCTTGAGATGCAGTACGAGCAGTATAGTTCATTGCAGGGGGATGCGGCTTCGGTGTCTTGAAGGAGCTTATGAAAAAACAGACTGTGGGTTTCTGGAAATACCCTGGTTGTGTGCAGACTTTGACTTGGACGGATTTGCAGCTCATGAAGTCCAGCTTGCCGTAACAAGCCTAGTGTTTTATGAAGTGTGTGTGAGTAAATGGAGCTAGCACCCTTGAATGTTGGGACTGTCACGACCTTTCTTAATTTAGATGCTGTTTTGAAATGTAATACTTAAGGCTATGACTGCTTTTTCAGGAAACAAGTGATATCAGAGGATATTAAAGAACATAAAGAGTTAAATGCACCAATTAAGTGGATTTAACTAAAAGATAATGATAAGCCAAATAAAGCAGCACTGCTGGAAAGGAATGTGTGTGGGTGGAAGGGGGTTACAGAGGCAGGCAGACAAAGACTCGGCCTGGAAACTGCTGATAATGAAGGGGTGGTAGAGCTCCCACGAACAGGTTTCAGACTCTTTGCTGTTCCCTGCAGTGTATGTACTGGATGGATCAGCGTGTTGCTCATCTTAAACCAGGATGATACTTTTGCCCTTCTCACTCCTAACCACATCAGCACCAGTCCTGCTACCCAAATAAACAGCAAACAGCATTGTGCACGGTGCTCTGTTTGGGAAACAACAGGCTTGAGCCCCGTTCAGCCAAGTATTTATGTTGCATTCAGTTTGAGTTGTAATATTTAGGCATTGCGGAGTACTTCCAGAGGTCCTTTACAATCTCAACAGTTCTGGGCCTCTGTGATTTTTATTTTTTCTTTTCCCTCTTCTCTTTTGGCCAGCCCTACCTGATGGGAGACATCAGGGTTGGTTGTTTATCACCCCGATAAACATTTTCCTTTTATGGGATTGGTGAAGGTCCTAGGAGTGTGTCTAATTTATTTAGCTGCTAAAGAAAACGGAGAATGCAAGTACCAAGGTTAGTACTATTATACTTCTTCATGTTGAAAGCCTGGCTGTTGTTCCTCTTCCAGCATCAAAACCTGAAACCTTCCAAACTAACCAGCTCTCTTCTTTTCCATCCCACTACCCTCCCAGTGTTTCCAATGCTCTGCTTGAGAAAATTGCTTGTAGTGAAAGTTGCTTTTATTTTATAAGCAGTTTTGCTCACACTGAATCTTCTAAGTGAGAGCTGCTTATGCACAAACTGTCTGGAGGGGTTGCTCCCTGTCCCCAGGCACCTCCCAGTCCACTGCCCAATTTCCTCCCCTTCTGCTAAAGGGCAGCAGGTGCAACAGGGCCAGGGACAGGCCTTTTAGCACCAGGACAGGTGGCTGCTACACCTAACACCCAGCTTTTGGTGCCTCCTGCCTTCTTGTCACACCAGACCAGGCTGGGCACAGGGAGAAGCTATGGGAGATGCCTAGGGAGTAGCGGGAGGAGTGAGAAATGATTGGAGATGGGGAAATGGCACCTTAAGTATTTTAGTGATTGTGTAGTATTTTGCAGATGAGAGTGGCCTGTGTGGTATTACAGCTGGGAATGTCAAGGTCAGAGAGTTGAGCCTGGAGGAGCCTGAGCTTCAGCACTCCATTGTTCACAGAAGAACTTGTAAGGATTATCCCTGGTCTTCATTTTCTGTTTTTCTGGAACAGACCTCCGTTCGGTCAGCAGAAATACTTGCTTTATCAAAAAGGTAGGGAGCAGAAAAGCCGTCTTAGCTTGGGTATGAGCGATGCTTATTGTGTCCTAGACATGGCATTGCTTCATCCCCAGCCTCACTTACACCTCTCCCTTGCCAAACATTGGCAGCAGGTTCACCTTCTTCAAAGCAACTAGAGAAACTGGAGTGGTCTCGGTCTCACCGTAGATGTTGCTTGTGTTCCTGCACTGCTGTTTCTCCTCTAAGTGAAAAGAAAACAACCGGTGAAGCCCTTAATTTATCAGACTTGCATCTGTATTACGTTCTGAAGTATGGAACAATAGCATCAGGGAGCGACACTGAGGTTTCCTGGAAAATTGCAATACCAAACTTCCTCATTTTCAAACTTGTTGTTCAGTTTGAGAAAAGCTCTGCCTATTATGGGTGTTTTAAATTCTCCTTTTAAGGGGCAAGTGGGGTTTTTTTGTGCACAATTAAACTGAATATGAAGCAGGTTTCAAGTCCCTTAGATGGCTTTTTGAAAAGATCGGGCCCCTAAGGCATTCCGATGGCTTTGCCAAGAGCTGCCTTGATGGGCCTCTCATCAACATGTGTCTCCTTGAATTTCTTTACTGTTGTCTTTTTTAAATCTAGTATTTATGATTTTTATAGGCATATATTTGCCACAGATTAATTATTCTCTTAGGGTAACATGAAAATAATGCATGCTGCTAAATTAAACACAAGAAACCAGTAATTTAATGTACTGTTGGCAGAGTCTATAAATTTCTTTAATGCAAGTGGTTTGACAGATGGAGTTTAAATATTCCCTCAGAAAAGCCTGTAACCTCTTTAACTCTAAACATTTTGACCCACTGGGATTATGAGCCCCTAGCACAGCTAAACAGAGTGGTCCTTGAGTGAACTTTACACCATCACCCAGGACCTGGAAGTGCACTGCACGTTCAAGCCGAGTCTGTGGGAAAAGGAGCGCCCCTGGGTCAATCACACGACATGCAATCCATGTCCAGGCAAGGTCAGATGAAAAAAAAGCTTTCCCTCTCACAGGAAAAATACATGTTGAGATGGGAATTTCCAACTTCCTTACAAGCCTGTTTCGGAGCTGTCGCTCAGAAGCAGCTTCGTCTCTCTCCCCTGCCTGCAGAGCAGCAGACAGCACTGGAGCTTGTCTTGGTTGCTGCGGGAAGGCTTGAGGATGCATCTCTAATGATGTCAACTACTGAATTGTGCTTGGCACAGAAAAAAATCACTGAAGAGATCAATCCCCTGTTCTTTAAAATCTCCACTTCTGGCCCTGTCCCCTGACCCTCGCTCATGCTTCTGTTTAAGCGAGATAAGGTGTGTTTTCTACCCCAGAACACCCCCGCTCCCTGCTGGAACGTGACTCGCGCGGGACTTCGCTCAACTGAAGGGCAACTTGTTTGGATTCCGAAGGGCTACAGGCAGCACCGCGTGT